TCACAAGTATGAGCGACACCATTGTGCGCCACATCGATGTGTTTCTTCAGATAACTCTTATGTGAGAAACTCTTTTCGCAAATATCACATGCATTTCTAACACCATTGTGCGCCACATCAATGTGTTTCTTAAGATTACTCTTCTCAGAGAATTTTTTCCCGCAAATAACACATGCATGAGTGATTTTGAGATGTATCGAATCGATGTGGCGTTTGAGAACATCCAGTCGTGCAAATGTCTTACCACATGTCTTACAAATAGGGGCGATACCATTGTGCGCTACATCGATGTGTTTCTTGAGATTACTCTTATCTGAGTATTTCTTTCCGCAAATATCACATGCGTATTTAAGGCCATTGTGCGCGGTATCGACGTGTCTTTTTAGATTATTCTTGATTGAAAATTTCTTCCCACAACGATCACATTCATGTACGATTTTATGATGCGCAGAATCGATGTGTTCTTTTAGATGAATCTTTTGAGAGTATTTCTTTCCGCAAATATCACATGCATATCTGACTCTATTATGCACTGCGTCAATGTGATTTTTCAGATTAATCTTTCGTGCTAATTTGTTTCCGCAAATACTACATGCGTAAGGGCCGATCTTATTATGTACCGCATCAATATGTTTTTTTCGATTACTCTCAGTTCCGCAAGTCTTTTTACAAAGATCACGAGTGTCGGTGACACCATTGTGGGCCGTTCCGATGCGCGTTTTGAGGCTACGTTTATCGCTCAACTTGTTTGTAACACGGCTTGTTTCATTTGGCTCACCGAGTCCACGGTCTAATTCAACATTCAATTGGCTTGCGTCGTCCACGAATGATTCCTTTTTTATAGCTCCCGAATTTTCTATTTTAATTTCACCTCGAACTCGATGACCATTTCCATCTTCCATATGCTGCGAGTGATTTTGAAACGAATTTTCAATCTTCGTAACCGCTAGTAAATCAAATTTGGGCTTCTGTTCTTTACATTCCAACTCGATCGCCAACTCGTAAAGTTCACCTTCGTGACTTTTGTCAGATTTCCGAAGCACGTGAATCTGAATCAAATAGATTTTACGAGAATTTTTTTTATTAATTGTAGATTATTAAAATATAAATAGTACGTAATTATGAGAACTCACTGGGTTTTCTTGTGGACATCTGGAAAATTCAAAATTTTTATCATCGAGGGTCTCGTCAATACTATTATACTCATTCTCAGCATATGACGCATCAATAGGTTCACTTTTTACTCTGAAATATTTACAAAACGATTGAGTATTATGCTGTAAAATTTTCACATACTTTGATTTAAATAAAATAAAAATTACCTGACGGCACAGTTAAACATTCCGCTCGATTCCATCTTATTTGTTTGGAAGTTCATTAAGGACTGGTCTTTCTGTAATGATGTTACAACACAATTGACTAACTAAAATAATATTTACAAATCGTATCAAGAAAGTTCCGATTTACTAAAGTAAACAATAAGGAATATCATTTATTATAATTGAATAAATTACATTATTGATCAGCCTAATGTTTAATATTATATTTTATTCAGACAAACCAACGGTAATCCTGAAAAAGATATCAGCGTGATTAAGGTGCCTCGAGTACACGGAGCTTTGAAAAGTGTCAAATTTGATATGTAATAATAAATTTTATACAATAATTACAATGTAGTTTTTTTCCTATAAAAATGTGTTAATTCTTTTTTTAATACTTCACAGTTGATTACGCCTCTGCTGAGGATTTGCAAAAAAAAATACGATGATGACTTTGTGCAGCTACTTTTCAAGATCTGCGACGAAAAGCATCAGTTTGTCGAGGTCGACATCCAGGACGATTTGGGCCGGACATCTTTATTCACGATACATCGAACCTGAAGAACATGAGATTTTTCGTGTAGACGACTGTACGACGACTGTTGTGTATTTTGTGAACAAGTATTTTTTTCGACAGAAAAATTACAAGAGTTTCAATAATTTATTAATACATTTTTTATTAAAGTTAGAAATTAACTGCATTCAAAAACATCATACATTGAAAAAAATTAAATAACGTCCGTCTTTTGTTGCCTTTATTTTGGTAGCTAATAACGATCATACGAACATCAAAAATCCATCATGCGCTTCGTCCCGTAACCGCCAAACAAACGTGCAATGTATCTTGGTTCATCAGTTGGCCGATGATTATTTCGCAGCAGAGAATCGGCAGCTGGTTGTACATCAGCTCCATGAAAGGCAAAGGCTCGAGTGCCCAGCTCTGAAAAAATCCTTTCGTCAGAATCTCGCACATGTGCAAGCGTCCCCGTACTTGCGGGGGAAGGGGCCAATCGTCGTCCGCGTGCTGGAAATTCAAGTAGTCCTCGCGCGTGAGTCGTTTGGCCGCCTCTTCGGGCCGTAATTAAATCAGGTCGCAGAGCGACAGGTCCGTGCGCACCATTAGGTCCTTGCTTCTGTTGACGAAGTATTCGTTGCGAGGCAAACTTCGAATGAAATCCGCCGAATATTCGATCAGTCCGAGCTTATCAGAGAATACAGTGATAATCGTGATGGCGTCGCTTTGGCTCATCTCGGATCCTCGTTTCCCAAGGCACTCGACGACTTTCAACGTATCAACTGCGATGCTCAATTTTTTCTTCGATTCAATACACTCGACAAAATGACTGGCAGTTGGGAAAACGAAGCGAGACAGTTCAGCGCCTCGATCCAACAGTACATCAACAGTTTTCAGCCAAAGATTCGACATTGCATAGTGTAGAGGTGTCCAACCTAACTCACTTTAGCTGTTGATTGGCACCGTTTGATGTTTCTCGTCGCAGATCTTGAAAAATACCTCCGTTAAGTGATCGTCGTATTTTCCCCGAAGGATCACGTGCACAGGTGTCAATCCTTTTGCACCGACCAAATTAGGATCGGAGCCATTTCTCAGTAGCAACTTGGCCACCTTTCTGTGCCTCCCGGCCAGAGTCAAGTGTAAGGGCGGATCAACTGATTTCTGCTCGAGGCAGTTGGGATCCTGTCCAACTTCGAGAAATTTCTCGACTACTTTATAAAGACCAATTATGCGAGCCACATGAAAATGCGTCAGGCCGGAATCGTCGAAGTAATTCACGTCGAATCTGTCGTATATTTTAGTCCTGGAGCCAAAGAGGGGTCGGATCGGCCACGTGAAGAAGATGGATGAAAACATGTTATTCTTATGTATTTTTTCCCGCTGAATCCGAATATCATAGTTAAAAGTCGCTCAGACTGCCCAAAAATTTGTTATAAACAAATATATTGCAAAATGAAGAAAATTTAAATTTTTCTAAATTTTAAACACTTATTTGTATTCTTTGAGCAATTTTAAGCAAAAAGTGTCTCTTGTAAAATTTTCGTAAAATGATTATTTACCGAGATATTGAGACTCAAAGAGGAAAAAATGCAAATTTTTGGCCATTTTCAAATACCCATAACTTTTGAAATAACAACGTTAGATCGATTTTAGACCCGTCATTTGAAAGATAAAAACTTAATCTTTAAGGTGATACTAATTTCAAACATGATTTATCATACTGGACATGTTTTTTTGGACTACAAACATCGGCGTGTCAGAGCGTGTGATCGCGTTACGCATGCTACTGACATGTGCATTGCCATCAGAGCGTGGCAACGCCGATGTTTGTAGTGCAAAAAATGTAGTGATTACGTAATGAGATAACGTAAAATGCAATAAGAAAAAATTTATAATACATAATACATAAAAATGTTTAAATTAGTCCTTCAAATGTAAATTTTGTTTTTTTTTTATAAAATTGAACGTAAATTTTTTAGTTATCGAGTCATAATGCGTCACATGCGATGCGCTATGTCGATGTGCCTCTTGAGATTACCCTTGAGTGAAAATGATTTTCCGCATGTATCGCATGCATGAGTGATCTTATTATGTACTGCGTCAATATGTCTTTGGTAATTACTCTTATTTGTGTATTTTGATCCACATACATCGCATGTATATTTATTACCATTGTGCACCACATCGATGTGTATCTTGAGAGTCCCCCTCAGTGAAAATGTCTTCCCACAAAGATCACATGCATGTCTGACTCGCTTGTGCACAGAATCAATGTGCTTCTTAAGATTACTTTTGTCTGAGAATGTCTTTTGGCATGTATCACATGCATGTGTCATACCATTATGTAGCGACTCGATGTGGTTTTTAAGACTACATTTCTCTGAAAATTTCTTCCCACAAAGATTACAAGTATGAGCGACACCATTGTGCGCCACATCGATGTGTTTCTTGAGATAACTCTTATCTGAGAAACTCTTTTCGCAAATATCACATGCATGTCTAACACCATTGTGCGCCACATCCATGTGTTTCTTGAGATAACTCTTATCTGAGAAACTCTTTTCGCAAATATCACATTCATGAATGATTTTATCATGTACAAAATCGATGTGGCGTTTGAGAGAATGTAGTTGTGCAAATGTCTTGACACATATACCACATGCATGTGTGATATCATTGTGCATCGTAGAAATATGTGCTTTAAGATTACTGCTAGTGGAGAATTTCTTTTTGCATATATCACAAGTATGTGTGACACCATTGTGCGCCACATCGATGTGTTTCTTGAGATAACTCTTATCTGAGAATTTCTTTTTGCATATATCACAAGTATGTGTGACACCATTGTGCGCAGAATCGATGTGTCTCTTAAGATCACTCTTACTTGAGTACTTTTTTCCGCAAATATCGCATGCATATCTAAGACCATTGTGCGCGGTATCGACGTGTCTCTTTACATTATTCTTGACTGAAAATTTCTTTCCACAACGATCACATTCATGTACGATTTTATGATGCGCAAAATCGATGTGTCTTTTTAGATGAATCTTTTGAGAATATTTCTTTCCGCAAATATCACATGCGTATCTAAGGCCATTGTGCACTGCGTCAATATGATTTTTCAGAGTACTCTTTCGTGCGAATTTGTTTCCGTAAATACTACATGCGTGAAGGATCTTATTATGTACCGCAACAATGTGTTTTTGGAGATTACTCTCAGTTCCGCAAGTCTTTTTACAAAGATCACGAGTGTCGGTGAAACCATTGTGCGCCGTTCCGATGCGCGTTTTGAGGCTACGTTTATCGCTCAACTTGTTTGTAACACGGCTTGTTTCATTTAGCTCGCTGAGTCCACTATTCAACCAAAAACCACTACTTCAAACAAAAAATAACTTATGTTCATATAAAACATAACTCATTTTTACTCAAAAACTACTGAATTGAGATAAAAAGTGCAAAAAACCAAAGTTTGAAAAGGAGTTAAAAAATTCCATAAAAATTCTTTGAGATACTTTGATAGTCGTGATCACCCCTGATCATATTCATATCGTGATTTCTTAACGGTAACTTGGCGAAAAAAAAGCGAAAACTTGATTTTTTGCAAAAAATTTTACGTTTTTTTTTTGTATAAGTAGCCATAACTTTTTTATTACGCAAAGAATCGAAATTTTGAGCTCAGTTTCTGAAAGGGCATTAAATTTTACATCGAAATAGGTCCATACGAAACTTTTTGGAGGCCTAAAACTACAAAAAAAATCGCTGCGAAAACCAAAAAAAAAATCGAGCATTTTGGTCGTTAATGGGTTAAGGTGCCTCGAGTACACGGAGCTTTGAAAAGTGTCAAATTTGATAGGTTATAATAAATTTTATACAATAAATACAATGTAGTTTTTTTCCTATAAAAAATGTGTTAATTCTTTTTTTAATACTTCGCAGTTGATTACGTAATGAGATAACTTACCATACAATGAGAAAAAATTTATAATACATAATACATAAAAATGTTTAAATTAGTCCTTCAAATGGAAATTTTGTTTTTTTTTTTTATAAAATTGAACGTAAATTTTTTAGTTATCGAGTCATAATCAGTGTTGCATTTAATTGATAAAAATTTAATCAAATGGTCCGAAATAAAACAATTAAATCCAATTTTTAATTTTAACGAGTCACGATTATGACTCATAATGCGTCACA